CCTCCTCCTCAAGGTCTATGACGATCAGCGGCGCCGAACGACTGCCCTCCCTTCTCCCCTCTCCCTGCAGCTGCAGCTGCTGCTGCTGCTGGCGAAACGGCGACAGCGGCGATAGCGGCGGTGGCATCATCGCAGCGTCCGTCGCCGCCTGTGTAACCGCCGCCGCTGTCGCTGAGGCCCGAGAGTTGCCGAACAAGACGCCCCCCCCGCCCTCGTCCACCGTCGTCGTCGTCAATGCCACCGGCCTAACAGACACCCGAGCAGCAGCCATTGTTCGTTGACGTGCTCGCTCGCTTCTGCTTTCGTTTGTTTTTTTTTTTAGCGGAAACGAAAGGCCGGACCGGAGGGCACAAAGAGAGAGAGAGAGAGAGGAAGGAACCGCACTCCGTCAGAGGGAACAGAGGGTAGGATTGTGGTAGAGCAACGGCGGCGGTGGTGTTGAGGAGCATCACTTCTCAGGGGTAAAACGCGCCCGTGCCGAGGTGGGGGCCGGCTCCTCTTTGAGGATGGATGAATGAATTGAGAATTTCGTCTCCTTCGAGGGCGTTTTCAGCTTTAGTCGCGGGCGAACTAATTTCACGGGGAGCGCGCAAGGGGGACGGTCGTCACCATCGGTCTTCGATGGCGCCCAGAGGGGAGGGGTGATAGTCGCGAGTAGCGCCGGCGAGTTCACGGTGATCAGAAGGGAGAGCGCGCGCGGCGCTCGGCACTTGAGAGTGAACACGAACAGGAGGAAGGCTGGTTGGTTGGTGGTTTGCAGCTGGTGTAATTTTTCTGCACTGCGAGAGAGTTGGCGTTAGCAGAAACAAAGGATATCGGTTGGGAGATTGAGCAGAAGACAAGAGGGAGAGAGAGAGGGGTTTCATTTCTTCATGAATCGGCATCCTCGTTCCCAACCTCGCCCCAAGCCAGCGGCACGTTTCCGCTACACACACGCGACGCGCGCAATGCAATGCAATCGATGGTAACTTGTGAGCAGTGATTCTCTCACGACTAGCGGAAGCCACGTCCCTGGACCCGAAACCAACACGGAAAACACAGACGGCTGGACAATCGACATGAAAGGATGGTTGGTGCTTTGTGTAAATCCGGGGTCTCTGTTTACCGAAGCTATCATAATACGTCGAGAGAGCAAGCCCTGCATATACACATGAGCCCGCAACGAGCAGATGAAGGTGCACTTTTTCGCCACTAGTGTACCGTAACGGTCGTGGGTGAGACAAGACAACGAAGAATTATTCTTCAGCTGCTGCATAGATTTTTACTACATGTACGCGGGTCGAGATTGACGATGCGAAAGCTGAAACAGCAACACACGGCATGCGAGAGCAGTCCAAACCAACGTCACGAGCGAGCGATTGGCACGCGATCTATCTCAAGCGAGGAAGAGAGTAAGCGAGCAGGAGATGATCGCATGCTAATTTAATTCTCCACGAGTTGGATGTCGAATAGCGGGGTGGCAGGGTGATGACAGCAACAAAAACAATAATTTCTTGGGAAAAACCCATGGGACTTATGTTTAAGTTTACAAAAAATCAAGGAAGCACACCCCATTCCAGAGAATACCACAGCAGCCGAAGGAGAGTGTTGAACCCCTTGCAGCGAGGAGGGAAGAAAGCATGCTGGGTCCTGAGTATATTTTGAGTCTCGTTAAGGCTACACAGCATCGGCAGCAGATGCAACACTGCTGTGTGTGATTGTACTCGTGTATCTGGGGGCGAAAGAAAAGCGCGCGAAAGATACGCCCGTCTCGCAAAAAAAATCTCACCTCAAAATCTGCACCTACGAGAGATTTTGCCAGGACCGGTAGTACACACACCTTCCACACTACTTACCACTGAACGGCCAAGGTGTGCCACGCGGCAGTCGAGGTTATCCAGTCTTTGCTGCTCGTTTCTGTTGTGCGTAGGACGAGGGGCATGATTATTGTAGACGCCAACAAGCGTACCATGCAAGAAGAGAATGCGATACAACAGCTGTACCGAGAAAAAAAAGTATTTGTCCTGCGGGGTTCGTGCACACACACACGGATCTCACAGCAGCGGGCTTACTGCCTCTATCGACTAGCCAGCCCCGACAGAGAAGCACACCACCACCACCCTGCTCTGCTGCTGATAACCTATCTCAGCACGACGAGCGCATAGAGAAGGCAGGCAAGCGTCGCTCGCCCAACCGGGCCCCGCCGCCGCCGGTGATGTATCTTGCCAAACACCCGAAACTCACCAGCAAGATGTCAAAGTGTGCTGCGCGCCCGTTGATCCTGTGTCGACGCTTGCACAGCCAGCTGCCACGACCCCTCTCCACGCGTAGACAGCTAGCTAGTAATACCCTCCTCCTTTGCTGCCGACAATCCTTCGTGAACTACGTACGATGGTTGTGGAAAAACGAAAGTGTGTGCCCGCGTCTGCTCATTTACCAGCCTGCAGGGGCGATGACCCTCCTAGTTCGGCACGTCACTGATTGGTCAATTTTTGACAGTGCTCTATCTTAGGTGACCGGAAATCCCGGGTCTCTCGCCGAATTCTCTGTGGTCTCTTCTCTCTCTACCACACACACATCCCTCCCGCTGTAGCACCAGTCACACCCAACATACGTACGCTCTCCCCACGGACGGACAGCGTTTACCCTCCCACCCGATATCGAGAAGGGCCATCTCACTCGCACAGCTGCTGCGCGCGGAGGCAATAATCATGACCACCACGAAGCTCAGGCTGACTCTCGAAGAGGAAGACCAGGCGAAACAACAGCAGCAGCAGCAGCAGCAGAAGCAACAGATAAAACCGTGCGCCACGCCCAGGGGCTTCAGAGAGATCCCTTTGCAGATCACCCCTTCTACGTGGAAAACGGACCTCACCAAGTGTAACGTGTGTGGTAAGTGGTGAGAGCAAGGACCTCTGGTGCTTCCGAGGTCGTATGTAGCAGCTCACGGCGCGGTTTTTTCCCGCTATGGGCGACTTGTTCTTCGCGCGCAATCGTCGTTGGCTTCAGCAAATCCTGCGTACCTACCATGTCGGAAAGTTGTTACATCGAGCAAACCACTGCTGTTGCCCTGTGTCAGCTGCATCTCACAGCCTTCCCCTCTGCAATAGTCGCTCATCAACCTCTCAGGATGCTTGCTCCCTCCAGCTTTTTCCCGACGAAAGACATGTTGGATTTGCTCTCGAAATTTCGCGCGCAGTGCTCTCTCTGTCGGACAAACCCCCCCGAAGTAAACGGTTTTTCTTTCTGTGGCCCCTGTTTTTCACCGCCGACTGCTGTGTTTGTTGCACGCCCCACCGTCGCTTCGACGACCCACCTGCATAGGCGACCGCTTCACATGGCTAAACCACCGCCACAAGTGCCGCAACTGCTGGCAGGCCGTCTGTAACTCTTGCGCCAAGAGTCGGAAGGTGAGGATGTTTTTGTACTAATTATGTACCGTGGTACGTTTTTTCTGTTCTGTCTTTCGGGTTGTATCCAAACCACAAACGCACTGGCCCGCAAGATCTGCTGGTCAAGTAACCAAGTAGCCGTGTCTGCACGCACACACGCACATGGAACAGACCAACAGCAGTACGCCTACAACTGCAACAGCAGTGCAGCAGCTGTGGTACGCTGCGGTTTGCGTGTGTGTGTGGCTGAGATCACGTCGCGCGCGAAGCACCTGGATATCAAGTAAGCACATCATACAGGGTCGCTTTATCGAAGACAAGGTAGATGCGTGGAGTACATTGAGTCTGACCCGCAAAGCTGTTTTTAGAAAGAACTTGGGTGCGGTAAAGTTCCTAAGGAACCGCCTCTTGCTCTCCAGGAGTGCAATCACCTCCCCTCTTCAAAACCTGACTTATGTCTCGAGGGTTGGACGGTGTGTGTGTTGTGTGTGTGTTTTGCGCCCTATTTATTATGGCGACAGTCCCCCCATTTTTCGTGGTGAGACATGTACTACACGTTTCAGCGTAACACTTTCGGTGTATTTTTTCGTACAACTACAACCATCCAGGGTCACACAGGAGGGGTAAACACCAGGGCTTTTTTTCTTCTCTTTATTTCTTTTCATGCCCCACCTTCCTCCTGCGGTGCGTGCTGAATTTTTATTTTATCGCGAGAAGGGTCCACCCGTCCCTTTCCCTCGTCAACGGCGCTAACGTCGAAGTTTGGTACTCACGAGAGCTTTTTAGCTATATTTTGCTTTCACCCGCAATTTTCGTAAATGTTTCATTTCACCCCATGGGGAACTCACTACCTCTGCGACTATATAATAGCGGATTACGAGGATACCACTAGACCACCGGGGCGACGGTGTATGTGCTGTTGAAAGAAATTCGGACGATTTGTGTACATGTGGGACGAAAACGCATCGCTGTTAGGCATGGTAGCAGCTGAATGAGACAAGTAGATACGGATACATGACGAGTTTTGGATTCCTCTCGACAACACCCTAAGTCGCACAAATCTGCCCCCACAGCGGCCTGGTTGTGAACAAACATCCCCGAGTGTCGTTGTCGTTGTGTCTGTCTCCTTGTCTTGCTGAGTCTTGGGATTATTTCTTTGTTGGCGTGTTTTTCGCGGAAGGAAGTTCCTCTTACCATGATAGAGCGAGTAGTCTTACATATCCCCCCGCGACCCGTTGGCGGGCGTGATTTGGCAGTTTGCTGTTTGCATTGGAGCTGTTGACATCGCACAGAACGAACTTGGTGGTGCATACTGCTGGAAGTAGTGTTGTCCTATCCCCGGTGGTCTCGATGACAAATCATCGATGGGCTAGCGTAGCGGCTAGATTTGGGGAGTTCCGAGTTCCGCCGATGTCCAGCGTCTTCCTTCGCTGGCTGGTGGTGTAGGAAGCGCGCTTCATCGGGAGACAGAGTACGCATCTAGGTTCGTCGGAAAGTACTATGTCGTGGCTGCTCGCGGGAAAAAAGATGAATCGATGCATCCATCCGCCGTAGAGATATAAAAGGCTCTTTGTGTGTGTGTTTGTTTGGACTCCCCAAGATCGCTATTCTTTTTGTTCTATCTTGAGCAGCAAGAGACTCGAAACATTTCGAGGGGAGGTGCTGCGAGGTGGCAAGCCAAATGGACGAGATCGAATTCCCAAGAAGCAACAATGCTGTTCGGTGCAAATATTTGCATTCAGTGTGCAGCACTCACGGCGAGACTGACGCCCAGAAGAGATTGAAAGAAAGTCGAAACCATACACACACACACACGCATGCATGCACGCACGCACCCACGCACGCACGCACACACGCCTTGGTAGACACGTGAAATGTTCTGTTGCTACCGTTCTCTTTAAAGCCGGAGAATAGCTTGCTTAGCCCCCTCATGACGCCCCGTCATGGGGCCCCATATCATGGCATTTGTGTTCAACCAAACTGAGACTGGCGCCTTTTCATTGGTCAGCCGGTTGGCGCGGTCGATGCTAATAAGAAAGACACACACACGAGACACACCCGTGATTGCCAACGTGATGAAGGGGGGGCATCGCGATTGTGTGGGCGGAACCATTCTTGCGTTGCCAGGAAGACAGCAATAAAATTTATATGCATATTGACACCAAAACACTTGACGGGGCATTTCCACAACAAACCAACCAACCAACCATCTTTATTCGCATCATATCTTCAACAACCACCCCACCCCCCGTCCCGCATGATAACAATCCCCCAAAACACAAGGTCATACGAGCCCGCACCGCCCCGAAGAGAGTGTGCGACACGTGCATCCAAAACTGCTGGACCCCCAGGACCCCGGCTGTCACCAAGCCCGCCGCCGCCGCCGGCAGCGTCGTCACCAAGGCGGACGGCGACCGCCGCGTCTCCCTGACCGTGTCCACGTCCGACGGCTCGTGTCCGGTCGACGCCACCGCTACGGCACCCCTCTCCCCCGGCACCCCCGCCGCCGCGGGTTTCTTCGGGCCGGGCGCGGCGGCCGCGGCTACCCCGTCAACGTCAAGGGCAGCAGCAGCTGAGGAGACAAAGAGCAGCAGCGACAGCAGTGGCAACGATGGCGTCAGCCGAGCTCTCCCATCGGGCCGCCGCCGTCACCGCGATCACCGCCGCCAGGCTAGCGTCAGTGTGGTCATGCCGCCCTTGCCGCTGCTGGCCTCGCCGCCGGGGTCTTCTTCTTCTTTCGCGTCGCCGTTGGCGATGCTGCCGCCGCCGACGCCGGCCGGAGGCGACGACGACGAAGCGGGGGAGGAAGAAGGAACCGTGGTGTTCCCGCCGGCAGGAGGCGTTATTACTCCATCGTCGGCGTCTGCATCTACCGCCGTTGGACGCCGCGGCGGCGGCGGCGGCGGCGGCGGCGCGGAGTTGTCCCCGTTCTTCGGCGGCCGCGAGAAGAGGAGCGGTAGGCGGGAGAGCACTGGCGGCCGTCTGGAGAGCGGCGGCGGTGGCGCGCTTGGCGGCGGGGGTTGGGCCGACAAGGTGGTGGCCGATCTGCTGCAGCAGCAAGGCGCGGAGAAGGCGGCGGCGGAGGACGAGAAGCACGATGACCGCGGTAGTAATAACCTTGCCGCACTGTCGGAGGAACCTGCTGTCGACGACGACGCTACCGCCGGTGGTATGAAGGAAGAGGAGGAGGAGGATGGCGATCAGGGAGGGCCGATGATGGTGAAGCTGACGCCGTGGACGGGGGTCGTGATGGGTGCCGTGGCGATCGGCACAGGCGTCGCCATCGCCGTGGTTGTCCGAAGTGCCTTCTCTCTCGTCTTCTACTGAATCTCTGGTGATCTTTTCTCTTGTGTTCCATCTGGTGTTCTTCTGCTAACCATTTGTTCTTCTTGTTCGACTGAAATCGTTGAGAGCGCCCAAAAAGGGAGGATTGATGGTCCCTACTCCCTCCAATAGTTGAACGATCGCTCTGCGATTGGCTGATATTATCGCATGTGTACATGGATCTTTGCATGCGGGTATGGTCTTTTGTGTTCCAAATGCACATGTGTTGCGAGACTGTTGTGCAGAAGAAGAGCGCAGAACCGAAGCAAGGGGAGAACAAGGATTTTGAGAGCCAGGGATCGTTATTGTGCACTAGAAAGAGTACCAGAGCATAGAAAATACGGAGACATTTAGTGCCTGGGAGAGAAAGAAAGGCCCTGCTCTCCTGTTTTTCAATTCAAAACCCACCCGTGCTGGTGTGTGTTCTGCGAAGGAGGAAAGGAGCAGCGGGGGTACTGTGCGTGCGTGTGCAGTGGTGATGTATTATATTTTGATACACTAGGTGAGGTGAGGCGTGTTGCCCAGTGTGGAAAACGCATCGGAAAATTATGCAGCCTAGCCTGGCCTGTTGCGTTTTTCATGCACGTTTCTTGGGGCGAGTCGTGGGCTGGAGCGGTGCGCGTTCGGTGGTTGCTGAGAATTGTACTACTAGAGGTACTAATGAAAACCCTACGGAGTTTCACATTTCCGAGTGACTTTCGTTAGCTCCGCAGCTGTATTAGTGTGTGGTTCAGGTAGGGTAGTGTCTTCAACTGCTCGCTCAATGAATCAAGACTGTCCCATGTCTTGCCGCGGCGGCTACAACACTGCTGGGCTCGCATCTGACGAGCCTTACGCGTAACGAATTATTACATTTGTTGTTTTTTTTATCGTTGGTGTTGGTAATGCGTACAAGACTACCGAGATTATTTAGTGAATGCGTGATTGGACTAGCAAGCGTAAGTTGGACTGCCTCCTTTCGAAAGCGCTGCAGCATCTTGTGTTCGGAAGGGGAGTTGGTCTACCCGAGTTTTTTATTTTTACAGGATCCAGCGTTGTTGGTTGTAGGTAGGGGGGGGGGTTGTGCACGGTGAAAATACGATCGTCGCTACAAAATACTAATGTTGGTTTTGTGCGCGAGTGCAAGAAGAGAAGAAGAGCGATTAACACACATGGCCAACAATTGACGAAATGAAAGAGATCAGATGCTTCTACCCATCTGCAATAAGCAAACGTACGAATGAAGAGCATGGAGGATCCCCGGATCCCCGCCCTTCCTTCGGCGACCAACACGCGTCCCTCCCTTAGGTTGGACCTTTACTACTGCCTGCCGTTCACTCACCCTGCGGTGCGCGGGGGTGGGCGTTCGCTAGCTAACAGTCTCGCCTGCCTTTCATTAAAACACGCAAAATGCTGCGCTCCGCTTGCGTATCTTTTCTACCTCGGCTTCACAGACCGATTCATTATGTGTACCGCGGCGTTTGAGAGGGCGAGGCAAATTAAATGGGTGGGCGTTCGCTAGCTGACAGTCTCGCCTGCCTTTCATTAAAACACGCAAAATGCTGCGCTCCGCCTGTTAATCTTTTCTACCTCGGCTTCACAGACCGATTCATTATGTGTACCGCGGCGTTTGAGAGGGCGAGGCAAATTAAATGAACACGGTTGCCCAGCTGTTACGATGGAGCAAGCAGGGTTCGCGAAAGAACCTACCTCCCACCACTTGTTCTAACCGTGTGTTGTGGACCTTCAGTCTGATGCCATCAATCACCCGATGTCATCGAATCACCACCATCGCTCGAAGACACCACCCGGGGGCAAACACACCCACCCTCGTCCTTCCTTCTTCCGCCCGACAAGCGGGGTTCCGTTCCACACTTCCCACGACCCTCTCGTTCTAAAAAGCCAAGCTAGCTTTCTTCTTACTTTCTTCTCGTCGTCCTCGTCGTCTTCCCCGCATTAACTACAACACTTCGATCCATCCTACCATCCTAACCGGTCGCCCCGGTGGTCTATCCTCGTAATTCGTTAGTTGCAGAGGTCGTACGTTCGAATCCCCATGGGGTGAAACATTTACGAAATTTGCGGGTGAAACATTTACGAAATTTGCGGGTGAAAGCGAAACATAGCTGACAACCTTTCGTGAGTACCAATCTTCGACGTTAGCACCGTTGACGAGGGAAAGGGACGGGTGGACCCTTCTCGCGACAAAATAAAAATTCAGCACGCACCGCAGGAGGAAGGTGGGGCATGAAAAGAAATAAAAAGAAGAAAAAAAGCCCTGGTGTTTACCCCCTCCTGTGTGACCCTGGATGGTTATAGATGTACGAAAAAATACACTGAAAAAAGTGTAGTACTCTACATACTACGCTGAAGAGTGAAGTACACGTCTCACTCTCACCACGAAAAAAGGGGGGAGTGTCGCCATAATAAATAGGACGAAAACACACACACACACACACACACACACACACATTTCATGGTAGATAGAAGTGTTTTGTGTTTTCAACCGCACTAAGACTGACGTCTTTTCATTGGTCAGCCGGTTAGCGCGGTCGATGCTAATAATAAAAANNNACACACACACACACACACACACACACACCATCCGTGCCATGCTTCTAACGCCCGTCCGGGCTGGTCCAACTGACGTGGACGTACGATTTACATCGCGGCAGGGCTACCCAGAAAAAACTAAACATAAACACGACCAAGACGGCCAAAGCCAGAACAAAGGAGACGACCCAGCAGACAAGACACACCGGATCTCTTTTGCCTCTGTCTCTGCCTCTGTCTCTACCTCGCTCTCTCTCTCTCTCTCAATATTGACTAACTTCGCTCCCCCAAGAATTGACACAAGACTTCTCTCTGACTCTGAACTCTCTCTTTCTTCCGCGGTGTAGCGAAGAGAGTCTGGGGCCACGGAGGATCGATTGCCCTATGCTGTACATCTATATTACATTTCACCCCCCGCCCCTCCTCCGTAACGCCTCCTTTCTCTCACGGCTAAGGGCTCGGTAGAACGACACGACCCGTGGGTGCGCCCTAATCTTGGAGGGGTCGATCGTGCCGACCACCGAGAGGCCCTCTAGGGATCGGACCCTGGAGAGGGCCACGTAGGCCTGGCCGTACTCGAAGGCTCGAGACAGGCACACGCTGGCGCGGTCGAGCGACCTGACCGGTGGTGGCGTGAGGAACGAAAAAACGAATGGTAAAATAGCGGGAAATAAAACAAGCAGCAGCAGCAGCAACTGAGATGTGAAAGAAAAATGAGGAAGACGTCCTGTGGTACGCACACAAACATGATGTTCGTCATGATCAAAGAGGCCATGTGTGGGGGGGGTACTCATAGTCGTGCATGCCGTAGTCGTTAGACCATTGACCTCGCATCCCTACAAAGCCGGGACGGAGCACGCCGGGTTCTCACCGGACCAGGCTCTCACATCACCAAGCGCGAAGCGCCGTGAGATATTCGGCGAGTCGCATGAAGGGTGCGCTGCATCCTGCTAAGGGTGTTCGGCATCTTGTGCTTACTTCCTTGCGTACGGATGACAGCTGCGTATGAATTAATTTATTTTCTGGTGCTTTCACTTCCAGAGACAGTTGTAAGCACTGTGTAACTGCCTCGAGGGTGCTTGACCATTTTAACACAACGTGGTGCGATCATCCCCCTTGCGCGGAGTGAGGGTTCTCCACCCCGCACAACATGATCTACTCGACCACCGTTATGGTTACCGCCAAAAAAAAAACAGCGGAAAAAAACAAAAAAACGGTAACCTGGTTGCCGAGTTGACGAAGTGAATTGGCTTGTTTTACAACGTCGTTGCCAAGCGACGAAAACCCAACCCCGATGGCAAACACCGGGGGCGGGCGGCTTGTTTTACAACGTCGTTGCCAAGCGACGAAAACCCAACCCCGATGGTAAACACCGGGGGGGAGTGGGTTGCTTGTTCCAAGAGCAGAGTCTACGAAAACATAACAAACACTCACACACACACAAACACCGCAGCTCTGTCTACTCGAAATGCCTTCCTCACGGTGTGCCGTGGCGGCGAGCGGCCTGCCTACCGTCGGTTTCGCGGAGGGAAAAATGAGGGAGCGCGCAACCGCAGGCAGACAAGATAGCGAAGGGCGTCCGGCTGCGGCCAGGTGGTGTGCGGGGGCGAAGTAGACAGACCAACACCGGTCGCCCCGGTGGTCTAGTGGTATCCTCGTAATCCGCTAGTAGTCGCAAAGGTCGTCAGTTCGAATCCCCATGGGGTGAAACATTTACGAAATTTGCGGGTGAAAGCAAAATATAGCTAAAAAGCTCTCGTGAGTACCAATCTTCGACGTTAGCACCGTTGACGAGGGAAAGGGACGGGTGGACCCTTCTCGCGATAAAATGAAAATTCAGCACGCACCGCAGGAGGAAGGTGGGGCATGAAAAGAAATAAAAAGAAGAAATAAAGCCCTGGTGTTTACCCCCTCCTGTGTGACCCTAGATGGTTGTAGTTGNTCTTCGACGTTAGCACCGTTGACGAGGGAAAGGGACGGGTGGACCCTTCTCGCGATAAAATGAAAATTCAGCACGCACCGCAGGAGGAAGGTGGGGCATGAAAAGAAATAAAAAGAAGAAATAAAGCCCTGGTGTTTACCCCCTCCTGTGTGACCCTAGATGGTTGTAGTTGTACGAAAAAATACACTGAAAAGTGTAGTACTCTACATACGCTGAAAAGTGTAGTACACGTCTCACCACGAACAATGGGGAGACTGTCACCATAATAAATAGGACGAAAACACACACACAATCCCCCTGAACTGGCTGTTCTCTTGCGCCCACCGAAAGGGACAGGAGACGGGCGGCACATGTATGCGTGAAAGCACACGGTTTGTCTCTCCGATCTGTTTCGAGGGAACCCATCCATGTACCAGAGTCCGGTCGCCCCGGTGGTCTAGTGGTATCCTCGTAATCCGCTAGTAGTCGCAAAGGTCGTCAGTTCGAATCCCCATGGGGTGAAACATTTACGAAATTTGCGGGTGAAAGCAAAATATAGCTAAAAAGCTCTCGTGAGTACCAATCTTCGACGTTAGCACCGTTGACGAGGGAAAGGGACGGGTGGACCCTTCTCGCGATAAAATGAAAATTCAGCACGCACCGCAGGAGGAAGGTGGGGCATGAAAAGAAATAAAAAGAAGAAATAAAGCCCTGGTGTTTACCCCCTCCTGTGTGACCCTAGATGGTTGTAGTTGTACGAAAAAATACACTGAAAAGTGTAGTACTCTACATACGCTGAAAAGTGTAGTACACGTCTCACCACGAACAATGGGGAGACTGTCACCATAATAAATAGGACGAAAACACACACACAATCCCCCTGAACTGGCTGTTCTCTTGCGCCCACCGAAAGGGACAGGAGACGGGCGGCACATGTATGCGTGAAAGCACACGGTTTGTCTCTCCGATCTGTTTCGAGGGAACCCATCCATGTACCAGAGTCCGGTCGCCCCGGTGGTCTAGTGGTATCCTCGTAATCCGCTAGTCGCAGAGGCCGTCAGTTCGAATCCCCATGGGGTGAAAAATTTACGAAATGTGGGGGTGAAATCGAAATATAATATAGCTGACAAGCTCTCGTGAGTACCAAACTTCGACGTTAGCACCGTTGACGAGGGAAAGGGACGGCTGGACTCTTTTCGCGATAAAAAAAAAAATTCAGCACGCACCGCAGGAGGAAGGTGGGGCATAAACAGAGATAAAAAAGAAAAAGCCTTGGTGTTTACCCCCTCCTGTGTGACCCTGGATGGTTGTAGTTGTACGAAAAATACACTGAAAAGTGTAGTACTCTACATACGCTGAAAAGTGTAATACACGTCTCACCACGAAAAATTGGGGGACTGTCGCCATAATAAATAGGACGAAAACACACAACACACACATCCATGTCTTGCACTTCGCCGGCAGCAGCACCCCCTCTCCGTCCCTCCCAGTCCGCCGGTGGTGAAGGAGGGACACCAAACATCAATTTTCTTTCACATCACCTCCCAGCTCGAAGGCTTTGTGGTTTCGCTAGGAGCCGTGGTCGCAAGACTGTGATCAATCATCTCGGCAATACGCTCACACCCTACCCCTCCCAGGTTATGCAAGCAAACAACACCACCCACTATCTGTCCCTCCATGCAAGAAGTCCTCACATTCCTTGGCTCTTGTGGACACTGAGAGCCCACGCCAGGGCCAGGGGGAGCTGTCTCCTCGAGGCCACCGCCTGTCCCCCGACGTACAGGTGGAACTCTTCCGGTCTGTAGTTGATTTCAGACAGATAGGGGGGAGAGGGAGAGGGAGAAATGGATAGAAAGGTTGAGAGGGGATAGAGAGAGACACACACAGACAGCGAGAGAGAGAGAGAGAGAGAGAGAGAGAGAGAGAGAGAGAGAGAGAGAGAGAGAGAGA